ATGAGAAAATCCATAAAATGTTTGATATGTAAGTGTAGTCAAGCAGAACCACTATTACCAATACAACTCTAAGGTAATTAATAAATAGCTTATAAGGTGTCTTAGTTAGGGGTACTGCTGTGAAGAGACACCATGACCACAGCAACTCCTATAAAGGAAAACATTTAATTGGGGCAAGATTGCGGTTCAGAAGTTTAGTCTACTATCATCATGGCGGATGGCATCCAGGCAGACATGGTGCCAAAGAAGGAGCTGAGAGTTCTACATCTTGATCCAAAGGAAGCAGCAGGAGACTGTCCTGAGCTTTTAAGACCTCAAATCCCCCCTGCCCTCTGTGACAGATTCCTTCAACAACGCCACATCTACTCCAACAAGGCTACAATTCCTAACAGTGCCACTCCCTATGGGCCAAGCATTCAAACACGGAGCCTATTCACACCACCACATAAGGAATAAGTGGTTTTACTGGGTGACTTGCCTTCTGGGACCTGCATACCATGGAGAAAATATCAAGACTAACAATCTGTTTGGGGATTCCATCTCAGGGGAAGAACAGATCATAGGTGGGGCAGTAAAGAGTCCTGAACTTCAGGGCATCTGCCACTCCCGTCTTTCCCACTTTCTCCTAATGTGAACTGAAAGGGAAGTGAGTATATTCCTGCAAGCCTAGCCATCAGTAATCTTTTTATTCTTTGTTTTCTCTATGAAGCAATATCATAATAATTCTTAAAATTTCAAAAGAAAATTCACATATATCTGTGGGGGTCTCTGAGACCACCACAGCCAGCAGAATGTTAATCTGTGAGAGATAAGAAGACAGTTTGGTTAACACCACTCAGTAGTTAGTACTGGCTCAAACTTAGAGAATCTGACCCCAAGTAGTTTATTTTAGGCATATTCATCCACAGCACAATTTGGTAAAAAAAATTTCCTGATGCTAATGAACTCAATCCCATGTGCACAGTAAAGCTTAAGACATGGTTACCTGGAAACTCTCTGTGAAGCACATGTGACATCTTCCATAAAGATGGGGTCAGTAGACTGACTGAGAAAAACGAGCTCATGATGAGGGTCTGCGGGAGGATCTGGCGTGGCCTTGGCCACAGAGAGCGTGCAAAGATCATCAAGCTCTGACCTACCTCTGCTCTCAGCCTTCTCGGCAGAAAACAGGTTGTCTCTCCCTCACTTTGAAGAGCCAACCCCATGTGTTTAACACTCCTGGTTCCCTGGTGCTTATCTATGCGCACAAAGCCCTCTGTGCCTCCTACACAGATCTTCTTATTTGATACTTAAAATCCTGGGAGATAGGGCAGTAAGGTTATGTACAATGAGGAACTGACTGACTCTGGAAGTCGAGGAACTTGCCTAAGTGACCCAGGTAGTCAGCGATGGTACTGAGCCCACAACCCAGGCTTCCCATTCTAACACCACTCACTTCCCTGGACCACACTATCTTCCCTCAGTGCTCACTTCAGTAGACAGTAAATTGGGCATCCTTTTTATTGTCTCATAATTGAAGGCGTTTTCTTGGTTATATCTCCAAGGCTCCGTCTACTAAAATACCAAACACAAGCAGTGAGGTTCAAGTTTCTTTAGTAGTCCCAGAATGTGTTATAAAGAACTGAGGCACACTTTTATCCTCTTGATCCTCTAACACTTCTCTTTGTTTTCATAAGGTACAATATACTTCCCTGCCAATTATGTTAATACATACCTGAATAAGCAGACTGTCTATAGTAAGAATAAGTAGACTGCCTATATAAGAATACATAAGGAAAATGACCGCCACATCCTAAAATCAATAAACAATAAACGATCAACATTTAACAAGATGATATACTCCCATTTCCTTTTTCTTTCAGCAAACATTTATTCATCTGCTACGTGCCTCATACTGAGTTGCTTTTTTGTTTGAGACAGGGTTTCTCTGTGTAGTCCTGGCTATCTTGGAACTCACTCTGTCGACCAGGTTGGTCTCAAACTCACAGAGATCTACCTGCCTTTGCCTCTCAAATGCTGGGTTTAAAGGCATGTGCCACCACCACCTGGCTCATCCTGAGTTCTTACAATGAGGCAAAAAAAAGGAAAGGGGAACAGAGGAGTCCAGCTGACAACTACAACATTACATAATAAAAGTCACATCACAAGTACGTACAGGAGTCTAGGCAGATACTGCTATGTGGTCATAACAGGTTACAGGAAATTGCCTTTCTGTGTTCTCTTTAAAGACCCATCATTAGTCACCTCTGTATCACTTTATCAACATTTTACATTTTTAGAAGCAGACTAGATAGTCACTCTATCTTATACAGTGTAAAACGTAGGCTATTGAGTGACACTGGAATCTATTTTATCACAAACTGTATAAACGATAGCTCTGCAGTCTTAGTCTTCCATTTGAGTTCATTTATTACCACTGGTGGTTTAATTCAGGTCAATTATTGAAGAAGTTACAAAGTCCTCCCCAATCTGATCAACTGTAACAACTGAAATAAACACATCAGTCCCATGGTTCTGCTTATTTCCAAGGGACCTCCCGAGGGATCTCTTGTTGACAAGGCTCTTTACAACAGCTCCTTCCTCTGCAATCCACCTGCACTGTTGTTCCCCTGCAAACTGAATGCACAGGCTCGGGCTTGATTCCTCGGTTAATCCTAGCTTTGGTCATGTTTATCTATGGAGGACCACTTTTCCACAAAGACACAAAGAGAGAGAGTTGGGGCTTTGGAATTCCATGCTTTCATCAGAAGCAGTCCTCTGGAGTGGCTTTCTCTGGAAGGTCCTGATTCCCACTAATCCTCTAGGCTCCCTTTCTTTACTGCCTCTTACCCTCCGTGAAGTCCTGAAGCTGGATGAGACCCCCCCATTTTAGTACCTCCTTTATGAATAGCTGCAGGATTGGGAAAATCACTTGGAAAGTCAGAGCCTGGGTTGGAAATCCGGTTCTGAATCTGTTAGGCTGTCGGCAGTTTTATCACTCTGACTCAGTCTCTTTACTGAAAGATAGGGATGAAGACTTTCCCTTGTCCCAGGATTGCAGTTAGATGTTTGTAAATCATGTTTAGCAAATGACACACATTTGAAAAATTCTGTTTAATATGTTATAGCAATAGATTTTTTCCTAGTGCTAAATCTTTGAAGCTTACCATTAAGAAAACAAATTCTAAAAGGTGGGCAGATGAGCTGCCTCAGCTCACAAAGGCTCTTGCTGTCAGCATGGATGGCCTCAATTTGATCCCTGTATCACACATGTTGGAAGGAGAGATCTTACAAGTTGTCGTCTGACCTCCACAAGATGGACACACACACAATGCAAAAGCTTTTTAAATTAAAAAAAATGACAAAACCAAGCAAAATTTCAATTGCATACATACTTGAGAAAAAGTCTCATCATTTTCACTAATTCTAGAAGATTTCTGTCTAAAACAGCTAAGTGTAGAACCAAGAAAAGGGATTTAGAATCCAAACTCAAACTGGTCCGTGACCAAGAAAATATAATGACCTTTAAGAACAGACATTGAGTTTATTCCCAGGCAGGACTTCAAATCCACTTCCCATGCAGTGGTCTGGGTACCGGTGAAGGAGACCACCAACACACCCATACTATGATCTAGGCACAGACCACTACTAAAGAGGTATACTAGACACTTTTTTCCTGTTTTAGAATGAATTAAATTTGAATTTTAAGCCTGCGTGACTAAGTCACTAAGTATCAGGTGTGAGGACTCAATAAGACAACATTATAAAATACTTAGGATAGTGCTTAGCATATTAAGGGTCGGTTTTTCTACTACTCTCTTTAATTTTATTATACTCCGAACTGGGGAGAGGATTGAAGTACAGAGAAAGACACACACACATGCTTTCACAGACAATACTGAGGATGGAACCCAGTGGGTTCCCTATTACTAAACTCTGGAGCTGTCTGAAATCCTTGTGATATACCTCAGAGTTAAAGGCAGAGGCTACTGGGCAAGGAGATGAGAATAGATAGGAGAACAGGCTGGCTTTGCAAATAATCCAAATGGATGACAGCGTTCTCCGTAGGATGATGGAAAAGCCCACTCAGCCTCCTAAATCTCTTCCACTGTGTCATCCTCCCTGAAATTCCATCTTTAGAAATAATTCCTTTAGATTAGTAAAGCTCCCGAGAGGATAGCAGGACTCCTGCGAGGTTTATTTTCTCTTACTGGGCATCTCCTGACCCCAAGGAGTTGTACAATTTAAAGGCTCAAGGAGGTAGTTCGCTCAAGAACAATGATTTCTTCACGGAGGATAGAATGCGGCTCTGTTGCCTTCAAGACTAGGAAGGCTCCAGGAGAATGGTGAGCACGGGACTATTTACCTGGAAGGAGAGATATCTCTAAGACAAAAGTGAAGACAGAATGGGGCAGACAATGGAACTGGAAGGAAAGCCAGGAAGACCTCCTTTCTTCTGCCCATACTGCCTACTGGGTCATTGGCTGAAGCCTAGCCCTTTACTATGAAACTGATCAGTTTCCCCCAAGCTGCGGGCGGTGGGAAGAGGGTGAGAGTTCTTTCTTGGTTCAGAGGAGTGGGGGATCACGTTGGGGAAGAAGTCTGCTTGTTGGGACAGCTTCCCTTCCCAGGAGCTGGGGCCGAAAAGAAAAAAGCCTCCTCTACTACTACTCCTGACTGCCAGGAACTGCCCCGGTCCGCGTGCACCCCCCGAGATAACGAAGCGCTGGTGATAGGCACCTGGCATCTAGGACCCGAAGGATAAGCCAGCTCTTGCCTGCCAGGGTGCCAAGCAATGGATACACGCCCCTGCTGCGGGTGCACCTCAGCACCCCAAAACCATCATCTACCAGCCCGAGAAGCCAGGAGAGAAGGAGAGGACGGCGGCTCTGGGAAGCGCACACAGTGCTGTGGAGACACGCCTTTCAGAACCCTGCCGTCTGCCGGGGTTCTCACGCAGGCGGTGTGGCTCGGGACCTGGGGCAGGCTCAGGGAGGCTGTGCAGGGGACCAGCGACTCACCCCTGAAGGACTCCGGGACCCGCTGAGACAGTTCGTGTCTGGACTCCCGTTTGTCAGACATACTGCTGGAGTCGGAGTCGCTACTGAGCTTGTCAGCCCTCAAAGCCAGCTTTACTGAGAGCCGTTAGCAACGAAGGGGGCTCCAGCTCGGGTACAGTCCCGCCCCCAACCGGCAGCCCGCCCAATAGGTGCCCTAGAATGGAGGGGAAGACACGCCCCCTCCCGCCCTTCCTCAGCAGAAGGGCGTAGCCTGGGGGCGTGGCCTGAAGGGGGTGTTGGCGAAGCCGTGTCTCGGAGGGAAAGGCAATGAGACCGGAATGCTTAAGGCCCTGCCAAAGTCTTGCCCTAGCTTCCGGTGGGTTGATCCGAGGAGAAGGTGCGAGAACAGGGCGGGGCTGAGGAGCGGAGCAAGGCCCCCTGTGATCCCAGGCATTAGTGAGAAAGAAGGAGCATCCTCCTGTAGCGGGGTCTGGCGGATTGAGGGGCGCGCTGAGGGCGCCTGGTACATCGGGTAGGCAGTGTGAGAGGAAGGAGTCCGTGCCAACGCCCTTGCCCCAAAGAGGACTGATTCCCGGGAGGTACCTTTACTTTTTTCAGACAAAATTAACTTACGGAGCGCCTGGCCTCTAGCAGGCGAGGTCCTCCCAGTTGATGCAGCGGGCAGAGGTGGACACAGTGCCAGCCCTAGTGAAGTTTATATTATACCACAAACAAACAAGCTAAGGGTGTTTGGAAAGCAACAGCGCAGAGTCCATTTTGATTAATAGAACCCGGAAGGCTTCTTTCTATAAATAAGGATGTGGCCCCGTGAAAGATGTCCCCTGAAAGAGCCAACCTTGGAGTGGGGGCAGACTTGTTCATGAGAGAAGAAAGGTCGGGCCTGGATTCTAAAATTACATTTTACAGTGTCCAGGCTGTGGAGGAAGCATTTGCCAGAACCCTCCTCGTCTCAAGTTGCCTCCCTTGCAGTTTGTGACTGAAAAACTCCTGTTTGAAAAGTCACCGCTGTTTTGTTTTGTTTTTTTTCCCTTCCCTGGTCAGTCCTAATGCAAACTGTTTAGGGGAATATTATGGTACACAAAATAAACTTTTAAAGGCATTTTATTTGAATAAACATAGAATCACAGAAAGCTGAAAAGACATTACAGCAGTCACAAGGACCCTCTCCTCACGTTACTCCTACAGTTTAATCTGTTTTATGTGTAGCCTCAAAACAGGAAATTAACCCTGACAGAACAAGTACTCAAATATGCCATTTTATCACATACATAGATTCTTATGAACACAGATACAAAGATACCAGAGATAGTTCATCACTGCTGAGAGCTCCCTCTTGGAAACATTCTCTCCCTCTCTCTCTCTCTCTCTCTCTCTCTCTCTCTCTCTCTCTCTCTCTCTCTCACACACACACACACACACACACACACACAAT